TTATTGTATGACCTGCGTGTCAATCACTAAGCCCCATGCATTTGCCTTACTTTATCACTATGCGTTAGCAATAGTTGTAGAAGCAATAGTTGGCGAGATGACCCCGACACAACGATGGAGATCAAGGTGTCGTGCCGATGACGATGGAGATCATGCCGATGCTTTGGAGATGGAGATCAAAAGCACAAGATGATGATAGCCATATCATATCACATATTTTGATTGCATGTGATGTTTATCCTTTATGCATCTTATTTTGCTTAGAACGACGGTGGCATTATAAGATGATCCCTTCACATAATTTCAAGATAAAAGTGTTCTCCCCGAGTATGCATCGTTGCTAAAGTTTGTTGTTTCGAAGCACCTCGTGATGATCGGGTGTGATAGACTCTACGTTCACATATAACGGGTGTAAGTTAGTTTTGCACATGCAGAATATTTGGGTTAAACTTGACGAGCCTAGCATGTACAGACATGGTCTCGGAACACTGGAGATTGAAAGGTTGAATGTGAGTTATATAGTAGATATGATCAACATACAAATGTTCACCATCGAAGACTACCCCATCTCACGTGATGATCGGACATGAGTTAGTTGATTTGGATCATGTATCACTTAAACAACTTGAGGGATGTTTATTTAAGTTGGAGTTCATTAGTGTTTTGATTATTTGAACTAAAATTTATCATGAACTTAGTCTTAATAGTTTTTTGCATATCTATGTTGTAGATCAATGGCATGCACTACCGTTCCCTTGAACTTTAATGCGTTCGTAGAGAAAGCTAAGTTGAAAGATGAAGGTAGCAACTACACGGACTGGGCCCGTACCTTGAGGATTATCCTCATTGTTGCACAGAATAATTATGTCATTGATGCACCGCTAGGTGACATACCTGCTGCAGAAGCTACTACAGATGTTATGAACCTCTGGCAGGCTCGATCTGATGAATATGCAATAGTTCAGTGTGCCATGCTTTACGGCTTAGAACCGGGACTTCAAAGACGTTTTGAACATCATGGAGCATATGAGATGTTCCAAGAGCTGAAGTTGATATTTCAAGCTAATGCCCAGGTTGAGAGATATGAAGTCTCCAACAAGTTCTATAGCTGCAAGATGGAGGAGAACAGTTATGTCAGTGAACACATACTCAAAATGTCTGGGTATCATAACCACTTGACTCAGCTGTGAATTGATCTTCTAGTTGAGAGTGTTATTGACAGAGTTCTTCATTCACTGCCACCAAGCTACAAAGGCTTCGTGATGAACTATAATATGCAAGGGATGACAAAAACGATTCTTGAGCTCTTTGTGATGCTGAAATTGGTGGAGTTAGAAATCAAGAAGGAGCATCAAGTGTTGATGGTTAACAAGACCAGTAGTTTCAAGAAAAATGGCAAGGGAAAGAAAGGGAACTTCAAGAAGAATGGCAAGCAAGTTGCCACTCCCGCGAAGAAGCCAAAAGCTGGACCCCAAGCCTGAAACTAAGTGCTTCTACTGCAAAGGAAATGGTCACTGGAAGCGGAACTGCCCCAAATACTTGGCGGATAAGAAGGATGGCAAAGTGAACAAAGGTATATTTGATATACATGTTATTGATGTTTTCCTTACTAATGCTCGTAGTAGCGCATGGGTATTTGATACTAGTTCGATTGCTCTTATTTGTAACTCAAAACAGGAGCTACTGAATAAACAAAGATTGGCTAAGGACGAGGTGATGATGCGCGTCGATAATGGTTCCAAGGTCGATGTGATCGTCATCGGCATGGTACCTCTACATCTACCTTCGGGATTAGTTTTAGACCTCAATAATTGTTATTTGGTGCCAATGTTGAGCATGAACATTATATTTGGATCTTGTTTATTGCGAGACGGTTACTCATTTAAGTCAAAGAATAATGGTTGTTCTATTTATATGAGTAATATCTTTTATGGTCATGCACCTTTGACGAATGGTCTATTCTTGTTGGATTTCAATCGTAGTGATACACATATTGATAATATCGTTGCCAAAAGATGCAAAGTTGATAATGATAGTGCAACATACTTGTGGCACTGCCATTTAGGTCATATTGGTGTAAAGCGCATGAAGAAACTCCATGTGGATGGACCTTTGGAATCACTTGATTATGAATCATTTGATACTTGCGAACCATGCCTCATGGGTAAGATGACTAAAACTTCGTTCTCCGGAACAATGGAGCGAGCTAATGACTTACTGGAAATATACATACCAATGTATGCAGTCCGGTGAGTGTTGAGGCACACGGCGGGTATCGTTATTTTTTAACCTCCACAGATGATTTGAGTAGGTATGGGTATATCTACTTGATGAAACACAAGTCTGAAACATTTGAAAAGTTCAAAGAATTTCATAGTGAAGTGGAGAATCATCATAACAAGAAAAATAAAGTTTATACGATTTGATCACGGAGGCGAATATTTGAGTTACGAGTTTGGCCTTCATTTAAAACAATGTGGAACTATTTAACAACTCACGCGGCCTAGAACACCATAGCGTAATGGTGTGTCTGAACGTTGTAACCGTACTTTATTAGATATGGTGCATTCTATGATGTCTCTTACCGATTTTCCTTTATCATTTTGGGGTTATGCATTAGAGACAGTCGCATTCACATTAAATAGGACACCATCTAAATCTGTTGAGATGACACCGTATGAACTATGGGTTGGCAAGAAACCTAAGTTGTCGTTTCTTAAAGTTTGGGGATGCGACTTATATCAAAAGGCTTCAGCCTAATAAACTCGAACCCAAATCGGAGAATTGTGTCTTCATAGGATACCCTAAGGAAACTATTGGGTACACCTTCTACCACAGATCCGAAAGCAAGATCTTTATTGCTAAGAATGGGTCATTTCTAGAGAAGGAGTTTCTCTCAAAAGAAGTGAGTGGGAGGAAAGTAGAACTTGATGAGGTAATTGTACCTTCTCTCGAATTGGAAAATAGCACATCGGAGAAAACTGTTCCCGTGATGCCTACACCAACTAGAGAGGAAGCTCATGCTGATGATCATGAAACTTCGGATCAAGTTACTACTGAACCTCGTAGGTTGACCAGAACATGTTCTGCACCATAATGGTACGGTAATCATGTACTGGAAGTCATGTTGTTAGACAACGGCAAACCTATGAACTATAAAAAAGCTATGATGAGCCCATATTCCGATAAATGGCTTGAGGCCATGAAATGTGAGATAGGATCCATGTATGAGAACAAAGTGTGGACTTTGGTGGACTTGCCCGATGATCGGCAGGCCATTGAAAATAAATGGATCTTCAAGAGGAAGACATACGCTGCTGGTAATATCACTATCTACAAAGCTCGACTTGTCGCGAAAGGTTTTTGACAAGTTCATGGGGTTGACTACAATGAGACTTTGTCACCCGTAGTGATGCTTAAGTCTGTCCGAATCATGTTAGCAATTTCCGCATTTTATGATTTTGAAATCTGGCAAATGGACGTCAAAATTGCGTTCCTTAACGGATTTCTTAAAGAAGAGTTGTATATGATGCAACCAGAAGGTTTTGTCGATCCTAAAGGTGCTAACAAAGTGTGCAAGCTCCAACGATCCATTTATGGACTGGTGCAATCATCTCGGAGTTGGAATATATGCTTTGATGAGGTAATCAAGGCATATGGTTTTATACAGACTTATGGTGAAGCCTGTATTTACAAGAAAGTGAGTGGGAGCTCTGTAGAATTTCTAATATTATACGTGGATGACATATTGCTGATTGGAAATGATATACAATTTCTGGATAGCATAAAAGGATACTTGAATAAGAATTTTTTCAATGAAAGACCTCGGTGAAGCTGCTTATATATTCGGCATCAAGATCTATAGGGATAGATTGAGACGCTTAATAGGACTTTCAAAAAGCACATACCTTGAAAAAGTTCTGAAGAGTTCTTGCCCGTGTTGCAAGGTGTGAAGTTGAGTAAGATTCAAAGCTCGACCACGACAGAAGATAGAGATAGAATGAAAGTCACCCCCTATGCCTCAGCCATAGGTTCTATTATGTATGCCATGCTGTGTACCAAACCTGATGTGTGCTTTGCCATGAGTCTGGAAAGGGGGTATAATAGTGATCCAGGAGTAGATCATAGGACATCGGTCAAAATTATCCTTAGGTGCCTTGAAGAGGACTAAGGAAATGTTTCTAGGTTATGGAGGTGATAAAGAGTTCGTCGTAAATGGTTGCGTTGATGCAAGCTTTGGCACTGATCCAGATGACTCTGAGTCTCATCTAGATATGTATTGAACGTGGGAGAAATTAGCTAGAGTAGCTCCATGCAAAGCATTGTTGACATAGAAATTTGCAAAATACATATGGATCTGAATGTGGTAGACCTGTTGACTAAACCTCTCTCACAAGAAAAACATGATCACACCTTAGAACTCATTGGGTGTTAATCACATGGCAATGTGAACTAGATTATTGACTTTAGTGCAAGTGGGAGACTGTTGGAAATATGCCCTAGATGCAATAGTAAAGTGGTTATTATTATATTTCCTTAATCATGATAAAGGTTTATTATTCATGCTAGAATTGCATTGATTGGAAACTTAAATACATGTGTGAATACATAAGCAAATACCAAGTCCCTAGCAGGGCCGGCCATGGTATTCCAGAGGCCCTTGTGCGAACTGAGAAAACGGGCCCTTAAACTATATAATAGACAAAAAAACTTCCAAGCCTATCATGTACAGCGAAAAGTCATTATAAAAGCAAGTGTCAATTTCATTAAATAAGGTCTTGATACACCACAGTCCACGGATATATCAAATGATTACAAGATTAGGATACACGCTCCAATAACCCACAAGTCTTGTTTGAACTCTTAACTAAATTGTTCTAAATTCTTGATCCAACACGACAGAAGCTACAACTCCAGCTCTATCAGTCCATCAACAAACATACATCAGCAAACATTAGGAGCCACCTAAAAATTACACAAAAAGGAAGTGAATGGCATACTCAGGAGAAGCGACACCTTCGAGCATTTTTAGAGGAAAAATCACTAATAATAGTGTCAAGAGCAAAGTTGCCCAACATATCTTTCTCAATACAGCACATGTCCAAGCCATTCAATCTCTCTTGTGACATAGTTGATCTCGAATAGTTCTTTAGTAAGTTTAGTCTTGAAAAACTTGTTTCAGCAGATGCTACCATAACAGGAACAGTTAACAGGATTCGATAAGCAATGGACACATTTTGATAACAATCTGCAGCTCTAACAAAATAAAAAATCTCATCTGTTGACATTAATCTATTTGGTAATGTCATTTGAAGCACTCTTAGTTCAGAACAGAAATAATCTAAATTAACATCTGACAAGCTACCATGAGAATACATATTTGAAACTTTATTTTAACATTCTCTAAGTTCATTATCATCCAAATACTTCAATTTTTTGGAGTTGAACAAGAAACCAAATATACTTCCAAATGACTTCAAATCCTCAAATCTTTTGGTTAGTGAAGCAATCACTACATCTATCATGACTAGAAAATATTGAACTCTAAACAACTCCTGCTCGGCTGTTTGTGCTTTTGCATTTATATCATTTCCTTCATTATCATTATTTTTTCATCAAAGTGTCTTTTTCTCGTAACATGATGTTTTGTTGGAAATCTAGGTTCAATATCCATAGAAGATGCAATAGATTTTGCAATATTCAAACTAGATGTAAAGCCATCATTTCTGTACTTCTGGAAAAATAAGATCGCACCTTCAATTTGCTTAAGGGTAATGTCAATGCAAACAAACTTAGGCTGCAACTTCTTAGTTATAGTGTTTATGGTAAATAAAACATCCTGCCAAATGACCATACCAAGTAAAAATTCAAAATTCTTAAGTGCAGTAACCAAAGAATGTGCATCACTCTTAGTTTTTGGATCATCACTAGAGGTTCTTTCCAATTCCAATAAAGCTAACAATATCTGAGGAGCTTGATACCAAATAGCTTGGACACTTTTTATCCGACTCTCCCAGCGAGTATCACACAAAGGTTTCAAAGTTAGATCTTTAACTTTATTAACCAATACCTCCCAACTTTTAGTATAACCCAAAAACAATGTATAAATTCGTTGCACAACTCCAAAGAAAGTAATAGCTACATGATTTTGCCATGTCACAAAGTGTAAGATTGAGGCTATGACAGGAACATGGCATGTACAATGCTCTAGGATTTATTTCAAGCAAACGTGTTTTAACACCTTGATGTTTTCTTTTCATGTTAGATCCATTATCATAGCCTTGACCTCTAACATCATTAACATTCAAATCAAGAGATTTAAGGGCGCCTACTAACTCATTGAAGAGTCCTAGTCCAGATGTATCATCCACCTTCAAGAACTCCAAAAAATACTCTTCTATTTTTGTAGTGTTACTTGACATGTTTACACACCTCACAATTAGAGTCATTTGTTCTGGATGGCTTACATCAGGGGTACAATCTAGAATTATAGATAAATATTTGGCATCCTTAATTATCCTTATGATAGTGTCTTTAACACCTTGTGCAAGAATATTAATCAGCTCATTTTGAATCTTATGGCCAAGATAGTGATGATGAATTTCACTATTTTGAATACGCCTAATATGGTCCTGCATTATAGGATCAAATTCTGCCATCATTTCTATTATTCCTAAAAAGTTACCATTGTTATCTTGATAAATTTTCTCATGCGATCCTCGAAAAGCCAAATTATGTTTAGCAAGAAAGTTCACAGCAACAACAATTCTTATTAAAACTATCTCCATCTCTCTTTTTCTTTTGCAATTTCTTCCTGCAAATCTTTGTCAATTGTTTGATTTTTATTTAGTCTCAGCTTTACCTCATTCCAAGTATTCATGTTAGTGATATGCTCAATACTATTCTCATGAAGTTTGAGCCTCTAGCTAAGATGTTGCAAATAACTTAGCCCCTCAGATGCTAACAAACTTTTGTTACCTTCCGATTTGAACAATTTGCAGGAAATCAGTAAACTTTGTTCACATCCTTAGAGTACACCAACCATTTCCTATCACTAACCTCCCCATTACTTAGATTTCTTGAGTAGTAGGCATTTGAAAAATGCCTACCGTTATCATCTGGATGATACACAAGATTTAAATCCCTTATAGGCCATTTCTCTATTAGAATGTCTCCCGATTTATTGTCAAGAATTTCCCAAGTTCTAGGGCCATAAATATCTAAACTAGAAGATTTGTGTTCATGTTGTTTAGGATTTTCAGTATCAGAAACATTCTCATGGCCACCCAAATTTGTAGAATCGTCAATGACAACATTTTCCTTAACTAAGTTTTCATCAGATTGTTGTTCTTCAACACTATGAACAGCTAATACCTCTGGATTCTTGGCAGTGGATTTTTTTAAAATGAATTTATGACTAGCACCCTTTTGAGTTCCAATGAATTCATCTACAAGTTTCTTCTTTTTCCTTTTCGCACAACTAGATAAATTCTTTTTTGCAACATGGTTATAGAAAAATGGAGAGAGAACACCTGAGATCTTTTCTTCTTGAATCCTATTCTTGGTCTCTTGGAGTAAATAAAAGAAATCCCAATATCCCACGCTACTCCACACTGCTCTAGATTGCCGTGGCCATCCCTAGAATCAAGCAGGTTAAACATCAGCACATCAATTCATAAAAAAGGAAAATAGACAAGGGAAAAAGTTGAGGTGCAAAAAGCAGGAAAATTGAGATGAAAAAAATTAGGAGGATGTGCCTGGACTCCACGTCTCCACTCTCCACCGCCGAACAGTCGGATCCTAGCCGGCTCGCCTATGTGGATTCATGTTCCTGCCAGGGCGCCACTGGTCGGCTCGCCTCTGTGGATCCATTCGCCGGGGGCCCTTGCCCCTTGGGTTATTTGTAGGATGCAAAGAAATCCACTAAAGTGTGATACTAACGGAAAATTCATTGAATAGATTCGGGAGTTGGGATCATGGCCTCTTAGGAACTCGAGCAAGGGGCAATCAATAGGATTTGGGGAAGAGGAAGAAGATGAGAATGGGAAGCAGTCAAGGAGACGATTCGTTTGTAGATGGAGGTGTGTTTCTGGGGACTAGGAGAGAACAAAGTGTTAGGGAACGTGGTAATTTCAAAAAAAATCCTACGATCACGCAAGATCTATCTAGGTGATGCATATCAACGAGAGGGGAGAGTGTGTCCACGTACCCTCATAGACCGAAAGCAGACGCGTTTAGTTAATGTGGTTGATGTAGTCAAACGTCTTCGCGATCCAACCGATCAAGTACCTAACGCACGACACCTCCGGGATCTGCACACGTTCATCTTGGTGACGTCCCTCGAACTCTAGATCTAGCTGAGGCCGAGGGAGAGTTTCGTCAGCACGACGGCGTGGTGACGATGATGATGAAGTTACCGGCGCAGGGCTTCGCCTAAGCACTACGACGATATGACCGAGGTGGAAAACTGTGGAGGGGGGCACCGCACACGGCTAAAGATCAACTTGTGTGTCTATGGGGTGCCCCCTGGCTATGTATATAAAGGAGGGGAGGGAAGAGGTGGCCGGTCCAAGGGGGGCGCGCCAGGTGTGGGGAATCCTACTAGGACTCCCCAGTCCAAGTAGGATTCCCCTCCTCTTTCCTATTCCTAGTAGGAGAAGGAGGGAAGGAGGAAGAGGGGAGAAGGAAGGAGGGGGGGCGCCGCCCCCTCATAGTCCAATTCGGACCAGCCCATGGAGGGGCGCGCGGCCACCCCTTGAGGCCCTTCTCTCCTTTCCCGTATGGCCCATTAAGGCCCATTACTTCCCCCGGCGAATTCCCGTAACTCTCCGATACTCCAAAAATACCCGAATCACTCGGAACCTTTCCGATATATGAATATAGCCTTCCAATATATTGATCTTTACGTCTCAACCATTTCGAGACTCCTCATCACGTCCGTGATCTCATCTGGGACTCCGAACAAACTTCGGTCATCAAATCACATAACTCATAATACAAATCGTCATTGAACGTTAAGCGTGCGGATCCTACGGGTTTGAGAACTATATAGACATGACCGAGACACATCACCGGTCAATAACCAATAGCGGAACCTGGATGCTCATATTGGCTCCTACATATTCTACGAAGATCTTTATCGGTCAAACTGCATAACAACATACGTTGTTCCCTTTGTCATCGGTATGTTACTTGCCCGAGATTCGATCGTCGATATCATCATACCTAGTTCAATCTCATTACCGGCAAGTCTCTTTACTCATTCTGTAATACTTCATCCCGCAACTAACTCAATAGTCACAATGCTTGCAAGGCTTATAGTGACGAGTATTACCGAGAGGGCACAGAGATACCTCTCCGAAACACAGACTGACAAATCCTAATCTCGATCTATGCCAACCCAACAAACACCTTTAGAGACACCTATAGAGCACCTTTATAATCACCCATTTACGTTGTGACGTTTGGTAACACACAAAGTGTTCCTTCGGTATTCGGGAGTTGCATAATCTCATAGTGTGAGGAACATGTATAAGTCATGAAGAGAGGAGTAGCAATGAAACAGTAACGATCATAATGCTAAGATAACGGATGAGTCATGTCCATCACATCATTCTCCTAATGATGTGATCCCGTTCATCAAATGACAACTCATGTCTATGGTTAGGAAACATAACCATCTTTGATTAACAAGCTAGTCAAGTAGAGGCATACTAGGGACACTATGTTTTGTCTATGTATTCACACATGTACTAAGTTTCCGGTTAATACAATTCTAGCATGAATAGTAAACATTTATCATGAAATAAGGAAATAAATAATAACTTTATTATTGCGTGTAGGGCATATTTCCTTCACAAAGGAAAGGAGATCGCTGACTTTGTTCGTGCGTGGGCTGCTCGCTTCTTCATGGACTGGGCTATTTCGCTTGCGTACAGTACTATTTTTCTTTTTATCAATATACTGTATATACAATACATGCAGAGGGTATGGGCCCCTACTCGGGCTGGGCCCTAGGCCGCCGCACTCGCCGCCATGGCCCAGGGTCGGCCCTGGTCCCTAGTATGCCTCTACTAGACTAGCTCGTTGATCAAAAGATGGTTAAGGTTTCCTGACCATGGATATATGTTGTCACCTAATAACGCGATCACATCATCAGGAGAATGATGTGATGGACAAGACCCATCCTAGCTTAGCATATGATCGTTCAGTTTATTACTACTGCTTTCTTAATGTCAAATACATATTCCTTCGACCATGAGATCATGCAACTCCCGGATACCGGAGGAATACCTTGTGTGCTATCAAA